TTGCACAGACAGTCTATTATTGTAAGAATAAATTATCAAATTCCACTTATTAAACATTAATTTAAGTGAAAGCAAATTGTTCAACTTTAGCTTCGCGGGCTACTTTCAAAACCTTTGCGGTCGACCGCGGTCTACGTGTTGGCCATCCCTGATATATATAGTAGATATTTTTTTACAATACAGAATTATATATATATATATATATATATATACTTTCCGCCGTCTAGCGCCACGCTACGGAAAGTTTAGGCGAGTCTGTACAGTATGTAAATTAGGTACCGAAGTCTAATACAGTACTGTAATCTCGTAATAGTGCTCCCCACACTTTTATTACGATTAATAATGTAAAAGTTATTTTTTAAATAAAATCTTACAGTCCGAAATGTTACTCGACTCGTTACTGGATTTTTATTTTTACTTTGGTTCAGGGGTCTCAAAACGTGAAGATTTGAAAAAATAGACCCGAAAGGTATAGTTTGATACGATTCTAATAATTTATGTATACGTAACAGCGGGAAAGTAAAAGTTATTAACATTTCTAGTATTTTTGAAAAATAATTCTTATAAAAATGTTTTTGTAATAATCCAATTTATTGCAATTTAAAAATAACAATATAAATCATTTTCATTATAAATTTATGTAAAAAAAATGTAAATGTTTAGAAACTGATTTTGTAAGAGTTTACTTGAGAAAATGTTCAGAGGTGACCAGTGACTTCAGTGCATTTCTAGGCACGTTTTCGGAACTCAGTACGGTACTCAACAAAATTTGTGGATCAATTGAAGCGCAAGTATCAATAATACATTACTACATATTTTCAAATGTATTAAAGTTAATGGTCGATGAACATTTTCTCAAAAAACTCATATATTTTTCTAAAAACGTACATACTTTTATAATATAAAAGTTTGTTTCTATTTGCGCTTCAATTGACTCCTAAATTTTGCTGAGTATCGTGCGGAGTTCTGAAAACGTGACGAGAAATGCACTGAAGTCAATGGTCACCTCTTTGAACATTTTCTCAAGTAAACACTCCTACAAAATAAGTTTCTAAACATTTACATTTTTTTACATAAGTTTAACGTATATTTCAGAAGATATTTACAATTGGCATTATAAATGGATCACCCTTTTTAATATTGAACACGATTCGACAGAAGTTCCGTAATTTAAAACAGGCGAATGATATGAAAATTTAAAGTTATTTGCGTATAGGTTAAACAAATATATATTCGTTGACAAAAAGTTAAGCATCGAATGAAACGTCGGTGCGAACGTAGTGATGGCACAATTTCCTTTGGAACAAGATTCTTTAAAGGAACTTCTATTATCTTGTAGTGTACCTTCTCTTGTCTATTTACATGCGACAATACAATCGGGCATGGTACGTTATCCTGCAAAGGATTCGCTCGCAAATGCTGCAGCTGCCGCTTCGTGAATGGCCTGCTGTAACCGGGCTTTTACCTGCAACGCTGCCAATTTAAAGATATAGACGTACCGCCAACGCATATTCCCCAACGTCATCCGGCAGTTTGGTCCAAGGCCAAGATTCGGAAAATTTTGCCATCTTGGCTTTCTAGAGTCCACATTTATTTCGTGCGCCTTTGGAATAAGCATTACAAAAAGGGGATTTACAGTGGATTTTGGAGTGTATCAAGGTTTAACTTTAAGCCCATATCTTTTTTATTAATACAGTATTAGGTGAATTATTGCAGGATGCAAAGTGACAAAAGAGCTACGGTATATGTTATTTACAATTGATGATGTGCTTATTAATGAGAGAGAGAGAGAGTTGAGCCAAAAAAGTTTAGGAACAGATTAGAGAGGATTAATAAGTTATTTAAAAAGAAAAATTAAAATTTTCCTTTATCTGAGTTAAATTTCTGTGGCTGCTTAAATGCATTAGAAGATAAACTATGATTTTTTCCACTTATATTGTCACAGATATGCAATGAAATACAATGTAGAAAAATGCAAATGCACCTATTTATTAAACAGATATACAGAAAGAGAAAATTATATACAAAACCTGCATATACATACGTAACAATATAACAATAATTCGCGATTTTCTTGTGAATTGTAAATCTTTTCGAGGAATTAAACATTTCCACTTATCTAACCGGTTCGGAAATGGTGTAAAAAAAAGTGCCACTTCTCACCAGATTTGCAGTAGCCAGACACTAAGTCACAAAACACTTATTCGGCATGCTGTTGTTTCTTTATCTCGAAGTAAAAAAATTACAAAAATGCTTGGAAAACGGCAAAACTGGTAATACAATTAAGGCATTGGGGTAACGGTCAGGGTGTGCCAGTGGCTTTTTCCAAGGTTACCAATTTAGCTAATTTTTTGTTGGATTTATTATCGATCGATACGAATTTCCCGAATCATAATGGCCTATCTATCGTTGAGGGTATCTAGCTTTAAAAAAAATATATAATAGAAACAATACGAATTATAAAAAATTATAATGGAAACAATATGATTTGGCTATTTTTATGGAAATGTAGCTGTGTTTAAATTTTGGGTTGGCAACAGTTATTCATTGCCAGAGGAGGAGTGCCGTGTGAGGACGAGAAACACGTGGGAGAGAAAACACAAGGTAGGCAATGGTAATTCGGCGGACGAGTAGACATTATTAAATCGGGAAGCGAGTAAGATTGTGGCGAAACTGGTGATAAAATGATGTAGCTACTAGCCCGTTTCCGTATATCACGTGTAAGTCTGTGTGTGTCGAACCGGTTATCTTCCGTAAATGAATTTTTGTGGGTATGGAGTAAACCCTTCGTTAAATATTTCGGTTAAATTTCAGATACGTATACTGTCATAGCGGCAATTCATACTAGTTATTGATACGCGTGTTCAAGAACTACCGTGAATCAATAACTAGTGACGTTTGGCACAAGACAGTCCTTCGCTCGTTTTTAAACTAGTCTGCCACGTGGCCCGGTGCCTCGCGTTAAATTAACACCTTCAAACAAAGTGTACACGAAATTTCGGAGGAAGCCAGCCGCCGTCAGCTTTTTATAGGATACCGAGATAGTTTAGGGGGCATATTTTGGGAAATATGATTAAAATCGGAACAGATTATTTGTAAAATACACGACGAATTACCCAAGTTCCGCCGGAGCCAATCGGTGGAACCATATTCTCTATACATTCCTAGGCCGTTCGATCAATTGCTACGAAACTTTGCAGTTACGTTTATATACCCCTAACTCAGATAACGTGGTACATCTTATAAAAATGCAATCAATATTTTGGGATAATTCAATTTTTATTTGCATTCGATTTTGAATTAAACGTAGCGCCATTTATTGACAAAAATTTAACAAAATTATAAAGTATATCCTTTTTCGTAAGAATTATATTTAATTTTAACAAATTATATGTTACATTCGCTTAATTACTGAGACAGGTAGCATATAGCACTTGCCACTTTTTCATTTCTGAACGATACTTTCAATAAGTGCCCTCCTATAGTGAATGAATAAAACACCGAACTCCAGTAGTTTGTCGTAGGTTCGAACATGGCCAACGTCCAGTTTTCCGAGGTTTCTTCACGTTTTCTTTGTTGTTCCACGAATTTTTCTCTGGTTGGTCGCCGGCCGAAACTTCGATTTTCGCATTGGTTTCGATTGGCCCGTCTATTTTATATTACGTGTTTATCCGCAGCGTGTGGTAATAAAATTACAAAACTCTGTCGTAAATTTAATTTTCTTCCGCCCAGATTTATTTCTACTTAACGTACGAGATCGATTTTTATTTTCCTCTCGTCTCTCCTTAAATCCGCCGTCGCCATTTCTTTTTTGTCGTCGCCGTGAAAGTGAAGACGAAATTTAAAATTGTTAATTTTCTGGTATGAGGCGGTGGCGGTTCGACCGTTGTTTTATTACGAGACGTCTCCGATCGTTAGTCTGGCGGAACTTTTATTAGCGTTACCTTACCAAACAATTGGCAATATACGTAAAGGGTTCGTACCCGTAACCGCAGCGTTTAGACAAAGAGGGATTTTCTTGGGCCTCCTTTCCCCACGGGACGTTAATGATGGCGTGCGGAAATCGATGGAGACGTGGAGGAAAAATGCGTAAGTGGTGGGATGTAGGTCGTTACCCCTTAACGATCATTTACGGACGTTTAGGAAGAAGTTTACAACCAACCTCTACACAACTTCTAATGCAATTTTTGCTGTTTACACGGGATTTAAGGAGATAGTCTCTGGCCTGGCAATTGACAAAAATTACTTTTCGTTTGACGTTTACTTATTTATACTTGGAACGGCCTGTTAATAAGGCATTTGTCGCATAATTATTTTAATTTTTTAAAGCAATTTTTCGGCGAAGAGACTTTAATCTCTTTTCTTTTGCAGGTCTTCGAGGTATGAAAGTCTCGGTGTTTGACGTCGGCGGCTCCGAGACGTGACAAAAATTCTTTCGGCAGCGGAAAGATTTTAGCGCGGCTTTTGACCAGTGAAATGGCTTCTGCCTTTCGCAAACTGTTTAAACCCTCGGGGGAAGGATCCGGGGGCCGAAAGAACGCCGGAGAATCCAACTCTCCCGGCCACCAGTCGGCCGCCCTTCGATTCTTCGGACACTGTTCCAGCCCCAGGAGCGGGAGGAGGGACGCCAAAGTCGGTCCTGCCGAGACCCCATCCCCCGGTAAGGGCGGCGCTTCCGGAGGAGTGGCTCTTAAAAGTAAATCCAAAAGCGGCCAGAAATGCAAAGAGACGGAACAGAACGGACAGACGGTCAGGACCAGGAGGCTGATGAAGGAATACAGAGAAATCTGTAGGAACGTCCACTCCGTCGAGCGCCCGCCCTTCACCGTGGAATTAGTAGAAGACAACCTCTTCGAATGGAACATCATGCTGTATCAGCTGGACCCGGAATCAGAATTTTACAGGGACATGCAAGAAATGGGCATCACTTACATTCTGTTGAATCTCACTTTTCCCGAAAACTTTCCTTTTTCTCCCCCCTTCATGAGGGTCATATCCCCCCACATCGAGAAAGGATACGTCATGGAGGGCGGTGCCATCTGCATGGAACTGTTGACCCCGCGCGGCTGGGCCTCCGCCTATACGGTGGAAGCCATCATCATGCAGTTTGCCGCCAGTTTGATAAAGGGACAGGGCAGAATCTCCCGGAAATGTAAAACCGGAAAGGAATTCAACAGGAAATTGGCCGAAGCTTCCTTCCGCAGTTTGGTCAAGACTCACGAGAAATACGGATGGGTCACACCTCCCTTGGCCGACGGATAATTTTGGGTAAGCATTTTACTTTTTACGTCGTAACTACGCCATTAAAATCGCGCCAAACGTGGCACTTTACGCTAATTACCAAAAAACTCCCGGGGAACTGCCTTTACTGTAGACAAAATTGATTAGTACAGTACTTGGCCCAGACGCCATCTTTGTAGAACAAAGTGATCTAAACACAATACTTAGTCGACTGGTAGCGCCGTAATTAATGCGCGGGGAAGCGAAATGACTAGGATAGGCGGCGCTACAGTAACGGCCGAAATGGTCGTTTAGACGTCACCACGGACAATTGGGCGACACCGGGCCATCGAACAACAGAGTATTTTTATGGCTCAAACGAGTGCCAGGAAAACACTGGAAAAGTAATCGAATTTTTTATAACTTTTCACATTTCTTCTATCAAATCCGAATGCCAATAAAGTCGGCAGAGTAACAACGTTAACAATTAACGCGTCGACCGTCCGTTACGGCTAAACCGAAGCGTAACCAGGTTTCATTACGTTACGTTGTCGGAACGGGTGACGTACTGTACAGTACTTACCCCGACATCCCAGTAAACGTGTCTTTCCCGCCCGCCTCCGTGTCCGACTGGTAAGCGACGGTTACGAGTGACGACCAGAAAATAATTAAAAACTTTTTTTGTTGCAGGAATCTCGGTCCTCCTTCGATTTTAAGAGCCGGCGCGGCGGACTTCTAAAACGTGACCGTGTCGAAATGTACAGACGACTTCCTATGCTCAATTTGTGTATTTGTGGATCATAAATAAAAACGTAGAAAATTATCGTTGGTCTGCATTCACGCCAGAATTTCCCCATTTGTTACGGAAAATACGGCCGGCTTCACAAAACGGTATTTTTGTTTTGTGCCCTTCAAGAACGTTCGAACGAAAGTCCGCCAGTGAAAACACCAGAGTAAAACATTGTTTAAATTCCTTAATCCCGTATTTGCGGATGTAAAGGAACACTATAGGTTCCTTTAAACTCGCAAACACGGGATTAAGGAATTTGTCGTTACTATAAATCAATAATTTTATTATAGATTAGAGTACTTTTTAACGTTAAAAGTTTGCATATTTTAGTACTTACTGTAGTGACGGTTACGCCATTCTAAGGCAAGGGGCCCGTCTTTTCTTTACCTGATGCATTTGGCTTAAAAACATTTAAAGTCGTCAGGCAAATTCGAATAAAATCTTTATTACAAATGACTAATAATAAAAAGAATGAGATGTGAAGTATGCTCAATTTTCGGGTCTCTTCCCCTCCGATTCCACGAACTGTCGAAGGAACCGCTGTTCAAATGCTTGGCAGGCCAGGTCGGGCCCGGCCTCCTCCTCCTCTCTGACTCTTCATCTCCGACCGCGGGCCCTTCCCCTGCCACGGGCTCGGCCTCTTCCTCTTCCACGTCCCCTGCCCACGCCTACAAACGAAATAAGACTGGGTTTAAGTAATGTTTTTGTAATTGAATAATTTTAACGTTTTATGAATCGAATAGAAATGAAAGTTTGTCACAAGTTACACCCTTCTGAGATCCCACACCACGAAAGAAATACTTTTCTCATTTGTCTGCTTGGTAATTGTTTATAAAAAAAAAAACGTAGATTAGAACAGTATTTCACTTGTCTGCAGTTACTCGCTACTAAAACTTGCCCAGTTATGTCTCGTGCGTTTGGAATACTGTGGCACTATTATGTCGACATTGAGCATTGTTTTTGGATAGATCGCTATAAGTGAAACTATCTCCACACAAACAGTGGTCCTTCGTAATACAAAAAAAAATCTTAGGTTTATAGAGAGGCAAATTCTACTCGAACCGAAAGAACAGTAATGAGGAAGGCTGTTTGCCGTAAAGTATTTAGTAAATGCAAAGATTCGCAAATAATGCAGAAAACGATACTGCCAATTTGGAAAAGCCCATGTTTAAGTTCCCATCTCTTGGCAACAAATTGCAAATCAATGGTCCAGATAATTTAAAACATCAATATTCAAATTCCAAATAATGGAAGTAAAAAATGTTAAAATTAAACACAAAAGGAAATACTACTGTTTTGTACATAAAAACAAAAATGTTGATATGGAACAAATTGAAATAAATGGTAAGATAGATAGATAGTCTTAAATATGATGGAGTAAACAATATAAAATATCTCGGTATATTGATAGACAGTTAAATTTTCTGTGTATCTAAATTCACTGGAATAATAAAGAAAATTCAGGACTTTTAAATATTAATACTGTAAAACATCTCTAACACACTTGTATTGAACCAAAAATCCAATACAGTACAGTCATCTGGGGAACAGCGACAAATTCTTTTACTGTATTTGTAGGCGGTTTACAATATAGTCTCATAAGAGCCACATACAAACTGAATCGTTACGAACCAATACCATCAAGAAAAAATTCATATGAAAACATCATACATAAAACAAACCATACTTTTTTCTTTCAAACTTATAAAGCTTAAAGCAAATAACTATCATCTAGACATAATGGAAAATTACTACAGGAAAAAAAACTACAGACATTGACAAAACTGTAACAACTAAAAATTGTCTACAAGACAATCCACTCCAGTTTTCCAGATGATAAAGCATTGGAATTTGCTAAACAAATAAATACAAGAAATAACCAATCAAGTTTAAAATAACAATAAAAACCACTATGTATAGTGGAAGATTGACTGGACACAAGCACCAGTGCTATATGCCTCTTAATGCAGTAAGGTGAGTATTATGTGATGAAACATTACATCCCTATCATTCATAGAGAGTTCACCCTTGAAGGTTACAGATTATCCATGCTGCATCAATTTGCCTGCCCGTTCCTGCAGTGCAACTGGATTTTCTGGCACATGTCTTATTCACAGACAAAGCAACATTGGTGCATTTAATATCCATAATATGCATGTGGATGTAACCACATGCACATTATGGATATTAAATGCTCCAACACAGCCACATTCTGACTGGAAGAGGATTGTCCACATCTTAATCGGGTTGTATATTTTGCCAGAAAGACTGCCTCAATGGAGAATGTACCGTAGTACTTTCTTGCCAGAATCGCTGAAGGCAGTTCCAGCAGCCATCTGAGAGTATCAGTCCATTTTAGCACTGAAGTGCAAAACTAGCTGAATGTCACATTTGTGGATCAATGGATTGGCCAAAATATCCCCATCACTTGACCTCTGAGAATGCCCAATCTGTTGAGTCTAGATTTCTTTCTATGGAAACATCTTAAGTTCCTTGTTGGATTGAAGAGAAATCTTATACGAGGTTCTTGTCACAAGACTTTCAGTCATTGCTGCAGCATTGTGCATTATGCCTGGTATGTATCATGGTTGGCAGTTGCTCTTGTAATTAGTCCGAAATAAGGCTTCTTTTCCCATCTTTTACGTCATTCCTTTGTTTGCGTTTCTACACTTCTGTTTCACCCACACACTGCATGACAAAAAATATTTATTTTGGTATTCTACCACCCTGTAAAGTTTTTCTCATGAATTTTGAAACAGAATCTGAATAAATAACTTTCCAGAGGTGGAAAGTTCAAATATTTTTCAGTAAAACAATTAACCTAACAAATGTTTACTGAAAGTTGGAACCTGTGAGACACAGGGTAAAAGAAATCATGCTACTGCAACCCAAATATGGGGAAGCATGGTAAAGGGACTTCAATTTTATTTTGCATTGTTACTCTACACTTTTTATTTTTTCCACGTGTATATATTTTCCATAGAAATCAATACAAACTTTCACAAAATTGTGGACTTGCAAACTAAAGACAATGACAACAAAAATCAGCTAATATTAATAAAAGAGTAAGCCTAAGTAACTGTCAAGTTCCTGAATTTTTGGATTATACAGAGTTTCTCCTTTCCCAGTCTTTCGGGAAAAAAATGAACCATTTCCCGGGATAGAATTAATTATGTTTAAGATATATCATTTGATTTAAAGATATTTTGTATAATTATTTTTCATTTTTTAAAGTAATTTAACTCCAAATGCAACTCCAAAATCATATTAATAATGCTGTGTAAGATAGATATTAAAAATTACCTTTGAATTAAGTAGAAATTTTCACAAATAGAAAAAATTTATTAAAGTTTGCTGGAAACTGCATATAACAACAACAAAAAAAATGCTTTGAATTGAGTTGAAAAGAAAAATGAACTTAGATCAAACTTCTAACTTAAAAGGTAATTTTAGTTTTTTAAATAAAACATATAAAAATTTACAATCATATTTTGTAAGATTTTAAAAAGCAAAGATGGTCAATACTCCAATCACTCAATCTGATTCTTATTTTAGTAATGAAAAGTCCTGCTACCGAGAATACCCTTTCTGATTCAATTGATGCAAGTGGAATCGTGTTTAATGCATTTAAGAGAAGACAGATGTTATGTGTTTTTCACCCATAGCCTGGATGATTTCTAGTTCGTTTTCGAGATTGTAGTACTTCTTTTGCTATCTAGTAGTATTCTTGATTTGTCTACTTCGACTGCTTTAACAGAAACATCAAGCTTATAGCCCAATAATTCGGCAGTTCGTTTGTCTTTAATAATCAGGTTTATGAAGAGAAACGTCATACACTTTTGTATCCTTGCCCAATTTGCACAACCTGGCATTATGCCATTATTGAAGCTACTGGGCATAGTTAAAAATTAAGCATAAGCACAATTATTCTAGATTACAGGTTCTGACAAGTAAAGAATTTTCAGAGTCCTGCCACAAATAAGCTACGTATTGATTATTTATTGACCATTTGTGACATGCCATAATGTGCAAAAATTTAAAAAACTAATCAGAAGGTTTAAAATTAATAAATACAAATGTATTCTGACAGTTTATGAGTTAATTACACTTTCTATATGCAAAATTTCCTCAACCTTAACACAAAATAAGAAAAAAACTAAACTTTTAAAAAATTTGCAGGATTTTCCGAGTTAAAAAAACAATCGGGATCCCGTTTCAGAAACCGTACTACAAAGTATATGCAATAATTTCTTGTAATATGGTAATTCAAATAAAGATGCCATAATATTACTGACTGAATAAGAACAATAGCTATTTATCTTACAGAAAATCTATTGAAATAAAAATGTTTAACTAATAATATTAAGTTCTAACAAATTTTTTCAGTAATCCAAAAATTTTACTTTTAAGTTACTTAAAAATTTTTATTTTAATCCTTTGTATTCAAAAAAGAATACAAAATATTAAAATAGATATAACCAACCCAACAACTATACTGGAATATATCGTATAGTGTAGAAAAATTTCAACAAAATATGAAAAACATACAAAATCCAAAAGTACTGCCTTGAATTTAGTGTTAATAATGCTGTAATACTGAAAAAATTTCTATAGAAATTAAAATAAAAAAAAACAGTTATACTTTACGCAGAAAAATGTTAATGAATTTTACTATAATTATAACAAATTTCAAATATCTTTTATCTTCTAACTTTGATCTATATGTGAGAGATATTGGGCAGACACAGTTTCTGGAATTTTCTACCCACAAGTTATATGGAATATTCAAAATTGTTCTCCAACAGATGGTATCTAGAAGTTTCTTATGGGGTGCATAAATGAAGTGTTGAGGTACACATTCCTAACTAGTGATGTATCCGTATCTGTATCCATGGATATCCGAGGGAAAAAAAAGATCCATATCCGTTACTTTTTAGCAAATCTTTAACGGATCTGTTATCTTAATGAATTTCATTACTTATATGAAATTTTAAAGGTAGGTAGCAATAGCCCATTCATCATTTACTATCGTAAAATATTTCCATATTACACTACTAAACGTTTTTGTCGACATTGTTTTTATTTTAATTTAACTCAACGCTCTCCAAAAACACAAACATAATCTATGCTATCCCATGTCACACTAGCCACAAACCAGTGTTTCCCAACGTGGGGCCCACGCTCCACAGGGGGGCAATTGGATTGCTAAGGAGGGCAATTCAAAAATGGACTTGTCCAGAGTTTAAGTTAACCGTATAGCCACTGTATATGTTAGGGAGACATGAGAATTTTAGAAAGGCTTAGGTGGGGCATAGCACAAAAAAGGTGGGGAACACTGCACTAAACTATTGTGGCGGTACGCTATATTTTTGTAAATATAGTTGGCGAGTCGGATGGTAACACTATTCCATGCTCATTTCAATTGGTCCGAATCGTAGGTGGCGAAAGTATGAAATAAAATGTTTCAAATTCTTACAAGATATTATTATTATTTATTGTGAAATTTTGCTGCCCTCTAAAAAGTGCCGCCCGGGGCGGGCCGCCCCTGCTGCCTCCCCTACGCTACTGACTGGGAGTTGTATTTTCAATGACTGGATAGTTCAGAAAAAAAGATCCAGTTTTAAGGTTGTATTGACGACTGTGGAAGGAAAAATCCTAATTATTGAAGAAGAGAACTGGCCAGTTATAGGAGAAGGACGTGTGTTATCCCATCCAACAGTACACATAAAGAAACAAGCCAAAAAAAAGGACAAAACCCCAGATATCCCTATTTCTATCTTATCTACAATTTTTTCTGTCTTCTTAATTCTATCCCTTTTACTGTTATTAGTGTTAAGTTAGTGTTTAAGGTTAGTTTTAAGGTTCCGGGTTATATTGTTGCGATCGGAATCTGTATTGTACATGTGCTTTGGATACAGCAAACTATTATTATTGCTGTAATTTCGCATGCTACTGTTTGTACCGTGAAGTCGGAATCCCTCAAAATAGAATCTGTATAAAGACGCGAAATAGCTTAATTGGAAAATTATAAACTTAATAAGTTTATCAACTTTATAAGTTTATCAACTTTTGTTACTTTATCCTGTCTGCCTTTGTGATGAATTCTAATTTAGCACACTTTCACACTTTCACACTTTCACACTATAAACAAAAACAAGCTCAGTGCAAGTCAAAACACATCGCACTATTAACACAAAGCGTCAACTATCAGACCAAGGTCACACGCACCGGCACCGACTGAGTACGAAAGTTGAGATCCGTATCCGCAGATCTAGACTCTAATGATCCGTATCCACGGATATACATTTTTAATGATCTGGCACATCACTATTCCTAACTGAAAAGATATTCTGCGTGGAAATACCAACTTTTTAAATACGTTAAGTTTACCGATGCTATCTCATGACCAAATTTGCACATATACACTTCATGATGCAATCATTTAGCAAAAATGTCATCTCCAAGTCTACAATCTACAACCAGTTCAGTAAATTTAAAGCTGGGCAATATGAAGTCAAAGACAGGCCATGCTGGGGAAGGCCTACTGTTCTATTGTATGATGAGCTGCTGCTAATGGAAATAAACCCATACAAGACTGTGCAAGAAATGAGCAAGACAGTTGGTTGTGACCATCCACTGTAAACACTTCTTGGATGGAAAGCAGTATGATGATGGTGATCATATGAAAATTGCACTCAGTGTTCTTTGGGTCAAAATAGCCCTAGTTTTATTTGGCAGGAATATATGACATACCTAATCAATGGAAGATGATGCTTGAATGTAATGCAAATTATTTTCTTATTCAAACTACTTTTGTTTTTTGAAATAAATATTTTACTATAACTCTAGAAAATTCCAGATATTTTTCATCAACCCAACAGCTTCTTGTAAATAAAGACCACTGACATGTATAAAAATAAGTGTGGTATTAATACAATTGATAAAAAAGAATACATACTTGCTTCCTTCTTTTTCGCCTTTGCCTTCGGCGTGTCATCAATGAGGAGTGTCTCAAGAGGCAGACTGTCGGGTAGAATATAGTAACGAATGTTGTTGCCCCGTATGCTGAGGGTCTCCAACTGAACAGGATCTCTGTTCTTGACAGTCATTTTCACAGCTTTCAAATGAGTGTTCATGGCCACATCCACACCTAAATAAATATATTAAAAAATATACATATGTCTTAATTACTTTTCAAAAAAACCAACTAAATTACAATCTTTTGGCCAGAAAATACTTGCCTGTTATTGTCCCGTGAACCTGTGTTCCATTCTTCAATTCAATGGTGACAGTCTCATGACTGAGTTTCATAAGAAACCTAGAATATAAAATCATGCTATACAAATTCATTGTCAAATAGAGTAAAAAGTTTAGAGTAATAATAAAGTAAGTGTCTTCATGTCAGGAATGATGAAAATTGATTTATCTAAATGATTATTAGATCTGTTATTAGCTATGAAACTTGATTAAGGTCTATATTCACACCAAGGTTCAAGAATTAGTGTTAGAAGTTAATCAATAATTTAAATTAATCATCCATTTATTTTTCAATGTACAGTACAAGTCATTTTACTCCACACACTTTCTTCAGTGGCAGACAAGATCTTCAAATGTCTTCTTGAAGAATGTTGGAGGAAGAGTGTTCAGAAATTTGGTGACACCTTCCTTGAGAACAGCATCAGCTACTACTCTGAACCAGTTAGTAAGTAAGGTCAGCAAACTGTTTTGGAAATCAAAAACAGTTTCCTCTTTTTTCCTTCACAACATTTCACCTATATATACCAGCCATATCACAAAAGTGACAGTCAACAAAGTTTATTTAGGATTCCCATACCCTCATACAACCATGAACTTACTTCTACTTATTTTGAGGTTTTGATAGCTGTAAAAATCTGGCTGAATGACACTTCTCATTGGTTGATGAGGGAAGAAATAAGTTACAAATTTCTGAGCACCTCTCCCCCAACATTCTTCAAACAGGCATTTGAAGATCTTATCTGCCATTGGAGAAAGTGTGTGTAGAGCAAACTGGCCTTTTGTTAGTAAAAGTTTAATAGTTCATTGTTTCTTCTCCATGTGAATCCAAGGACTTATTTGACTTAACTATGTGTGAGTGCCCCATATAAAGTAAATATAATCAAGTTTCAATAACATCCTGTAATACATGAATAAAATTTATCAATTATGTACAATACTTAGTTACATACTGCTTACTGTACTTAATGTAATAAAACAATCATATTGTACAAAACTAATAAAAGCTAAATTAATATAATATATAATAGAATAAAAATGAATCAGAAAACTGTTAGCAGACTATGCAAAGACATTGTTACAAAATATCAGATCACAAATTCAAATTTCAGCTATAGCAAACATTTATATTTGCCCATTTTTCTTATTGGAGAAATGTGCAGTAACTACTGTTGGTTAATGACACTGCATTTCTTATTAAATTAAAATTGTTGGAGCTTAAACAATGATAATTTTTTACTTCCAAAAAAAAATTAATCATCAAATGTACAGAGTACAGTACATCAGAATATATATATATTTATTGGGCAATAGCAGATATTGAAAAGAGATTATCATTTATTATAAAAAAAATAAATAAATGTACATTTTATTGATTATTTAACTGAAAGTTATACTGTAGCATGTCATTTTATCTTTTGCTAATTATGTGAAATTCTTTAGAGCACGCAATATTGTTTTTTCTGCATCATATTACCAACACGATCCAAACAATTGAGGAAAAGTTGACGTCAAAAAGCAATCAATGCTAAGGCAGTCAAAATGAATTTCATATGAAAAATAAGACATTCAATTATTGGAAACTAATATTTTTGTTACATTTATTTATAACTCTTTGTTCAAAATAATAGATTCAAATAATTTTGGTCTATTAAGACATGAACGGATTCTAAACATGATCTTATGTACAGAAATTTTCTACAATAGTACTAAAATTGAAGTGTTGATAGTAACTGTATAAACAAAACACAGATTCATCCATTTAATGTTTTAAATCAAATACATACATTTAATATATTGTTAGTTTATAGATAGTTCTGTTAGTAGACAATTAGGAAATTTAATTGTATTAAATATTTTAACAAGCTAAAAATAAAACTGACTATAAAAATTTAGAATTAGCTAACACAGAATTAATTCAAATACTAGTGCAATTTTTGCACGCAAACTCCATTTATATTCAGTATTTCAACAACCATAGTAATTGTTATATAACACCTACCACTGAGAATGATGAGAATTGCCGAGAATCAAACAAACTGCTTTTAATTTGATCAATTTTCTGGAACGTTTACAATCGTTCTATAATCAAACCAATATGCAATAACGAATTCAAATTTAAAACAGTTCGAACATTTTAAAAATCAAAATAGATAAAAATATTTATAACAATGTCTGAAATGTTATCAATTTAATACACCTCAGTACTCAATGAAGACTAAACGTAGTTGAAAACGAAAAATTGCATCTAAAATAGTACAGTAGAAGCCGTTTTTCCCATTAAGCCTTAATCCTCTTCTTCTCCCCCCACGGGAATTTCGAAAAAGTCCCTTCTTAGTGTGCATTTTCATGACGTACTGTGACAGTGTACCAAATTTCACCTCTTTAGGTTCAGTGGTTTGCTCTGGGCGATGATGAAGTCAGTCAGTCAGGACAAGCAATTTTATATATTTAGATAAATTTCCGAAAAAATATAAAATAGTAATTAGTGATATGAAAAAGAAAATTCACAATACAGAGGAATCATTGTAAAATAAGATTTTACATTATAGGAGGCTCCTACATGTAAGAGAGGAGATTAATGCTCCCATTACAAACTTTAACCTGAACCAATACAAAGTACAAAATAAAAACAGGTGTCGGAGTCAGTCCATTTTTACCAACAACTTTGCTTTCAACTCTACGGCTATGATATTTAGACTGTGCCTATTGTAATCATGGATATTGTTATCTGTAACTTAAAGTTATTAGTAGGTCCCAAAATGTGCAAGTTAAAATACAAGAACTTCACTTATTATAATCAGAGTTAGGCTATTGTTATCATTATATTCAGATAAATGCATTTTTAAGCCATCTTCATGCTCAGCTTCAATGTGTAATCATTACCAGTGTTAAATATTGAACATTATAATAGCCATTTGGCCATCATTCAGCAGTTTAAATTGCTAATATCAATAGTCAAAATACTAGCTTAATTTAATGAATCATATCTGACATGTCCAACTCTGTTTGCTCAATCTGTAATATAAAAAACATTTTGTTCTTCCATTTAAGTTATATCAATTAAACCTGACAATGTCCATTACATAACTTATAATAGAAAATGTAAGTTACAGGAAAATTTTCATTTTGCTCATTAGTGAGGCTGCGGCCAGTTTTCAAAACAAAAACGTGAATGTCCGACATTCACATTTTTGCATTGAAAACTTCAGCCACAACCTCGCTATAATTAGTGTCAGTATTTGGTTTAAATTGCCAACATTTTTTGCTTAAGACACTAGACGTTGTTAAAGACAATACAACAGGCAAATAATACTGGATGAATTACATAATAATAATATTTATTAACAAATCTTCAAATTATATATTTAATTGCATTAATACACTCCCTTAACTTTAATATAGCTAAAAGTAATTAGGGTCAATGTGGGTAAATATGAGACACTTTTCAAAACGTTTCTAACAGAATTTGTTAGGATCAGTATTTTACAAAGAGAAATACATGACAAGGTCTACAGATGGTGTTAAAATCTAATGGAGTATTCATTTTTTCTGTATGTATGAGAAATGTTGAGCAAAAAATTTTTTCCTGTCTCATATTTTATCCTTAAAAGCTAAAATATGACACACCCATTATATCATCATAACAACTTGCCTATGCCAACAGGGAGGGTAATAATCAGGTACTACAGGTTAACCTTTTTGAACAAAGTATATTACGATACCAATTATTTTATATTACTAATAGTATATACATATGATATAGGTCTAAATTAAATGTTTAAAGAATAAAAAGATAAATAAACTGAGTTAATAATTCAGTAGGCTTAGGAAAGGAGAAAAGGAAAAATACAGTATAATGCAAATTAATAAATATGCTTTTTTCAAATATTTCAGATGCACTGTGTTCTCCTTCAACAGAAGACAAACTATCCTTTCTCCTCTCCTATAATGAATTATTAATAGTAAAAACAAAAAGCTTTATTCAATGGCCTGTTAACAGAGATATTAACATAGAAAAAGTTATAAGCCTACCGATAATTAAAGAAAATTTACATAACTAGCTTAGTCTAAATAAAATCGGCCTAGACCAAAATAAAAGGATAATAATCAATTGTTTTAGGAACAATTGATTATTTATTTAATTAGCATGGAATAAAAATAATGAAGAAAATAAAACTATAACCCTGCTGTTTTCTGTGTATTAACATTAAGATTAAATTAGGTGTAGACCTATTACATTTCAAAAATATTAACAGGCTGAATTTAATTGAAAAAGTTTCATGGAAATTAATGACTGTTAAGGTGGGCCCCTTGAGCAAAAAGATGCAAGAATGCAGGTTGAGGTGGTTTGGCCATGTAGAGCGAAGCAACAATAATGTTGGAAAGAAGATTGGAAAGCTGATAATAAAAGGAAAGAGGAAAAGAGGAAGACCAAAGATGCATTGGAAAGATAAGGTGGAAGTAGACTTGAACCAGAGGGGACTTAAGAGAGAAGCCCTTGATAGGGAGAAATGAGAAACGTATTAAAGAAGGAAACGCCAACCTCATATAAACATGGGAAAAGGTGAGGATAAAGAAGAAGAATGGATATTAATAACTGGTAAATAAAATCTGGTGTCTAATTTTCTATCTCAATCTGAAATGCACAAAACTCAGACAAAAAATAATATATGCAATAAAAACAACTAGCAGCTGAAAACAGCATTTATATACTAAATACAAATTTCTAGTTAAATATCCATGTCTTTTGCAGCCATATACAGAGCAAAAGTTAGTTGAATTGACAGAAAAGTTTTTGCACCTATTATTATAGTGTTTCTTAAAAATTAAAAAGACTCAATGAATCCATAGTCATTTTCATTCAGAAAAGTGATATGTTAAAAAGCAATATATAAACTTAATATTGTATTAGTACAGGAGAGATCAGACATAGATTAATTCAAATTTCACAACTGTCTCATATTTTCCAATTTTTCAAACTCTCATATTTACCCACATTGACCCTATTTAATAAACCAAATGATTGCTGTAAGTAATCAGGCTATTTTCTGTTTGCTACTA